CGCCCGGGTGGAGCAGAACTTCCCCAGTTCCCTCAGACAGTCTGTGCAGAGTCCGGGCCTCCCCCTCGCCCTGCAGAGCCTGCCACTTTCCCTCGCTTCCCAAAGACCAGTGCCCAGAGCCTGCCGCTGGCACCTTCCCCTTCCTGCCCACTGAGCACCAGCGGCCTGAGGAGGCCAAGCAGTCAGGGCAAAGGGCAGCACAAGGGCGGCCTGTCTGCTCCTCCTCCCTGCAGTCTGCATGTGGGGACCCCTGCAGCACAGCCCCCACGAAGTCCCCGTGCCCACCCACCCAGCTCTGGGATGAGCAGTCGCAGCGGGAGGCGGAGCAGCAGGTCCTCCCAGGTACATGCTCAGAACACTCCCTCTGTCGGGTCCCCCCAGCTGGGCCCGGAGCCTGCACCCCTCAGGACACAGGGCAGGAGGCAGGGCCTACCAGCTGCACACAGCGACTCTCCCTGCAGCCCTGTTGCTGCAGGCCAGCCAGAAACATGGCCCTCGGCCAGAGGCTGAAAGGCCCTGGACTTGGAGACAAAGCAGCTCTAAGGCAAGTGGACAGCTAAGAGGACTGAGCCCCTGGACCCGCCTCACAGCAGGACATCAAGGGCATAGACTCGGCAGCTGCCTGGGCCCAGGGGCCTCTTCCCCCCGAGAGAGACATCAGGCTGCACTCTCCTGGCCACCCGTGCCCTGTTCTTCCCTGTCCTTCCTGCCACACTCCAGAACAGCAGAGGTGGTGCCCGATAAGTCACGAATCTTAGAACAAAACTGATCCTCCAAAGAGTTAAACAAACAAACAAAAATTGGAGGGAAGCCTCAGGTGAAGGCAGGTGCCCTGCAGCCGCTCTAAGGCCTGAGCCTGTCCTGCTCAGTACAGACAGACCTCGCTCACCCCGAGCACTGCAGACAGGGACTCGCTGGCCTCGGGCCAGCACTGACACAGAGTCTGCAGACGCACTCGCCTCAAGCCAGTGAAGCCTCGACTTACTTTGAGCTGGTGGCTTTGGCCAGAAGGACTTCTCCTCTGTCTTCAGGTCCCTCCCTTCCTGATGTGTGTGCAGAGTGGGTGGCTGCTGTTGAAGTCACATCTGGCAAGGTGTTGGAGACCCCAGAGTGTCCTCTGGCATCATCTCCCAAATCCCATGTGTAGGGAAGGGAGAAGGCAGGTAGGGTAGTGGGAAAGGCAGGGTGGGCCTGCCTGCAGCAGTGGCTGGGTATTTCAGCACCTGCCAGGAGGCTTCCCCACCCAAAATAATCTCACAGCAGCTGCTATCGGCAGCAGGGGAGCACACGGGACTTGGCGCTAGTTACACAGAAGCCACGTGCACCAACGTGCTGCTGCGTTTAGCTTTGGGCTCTACTGCAGTATGCAGAGTGAAGAGTGCCCAGAGTGTCCTCAGCGTGCTGAGGACAGGAGGGCTCAGGGTCCCTCCAGCCCTGGCACCTCCACAGGGCAGGGATCCCAGAGCTGCCCCGGCGACTCCTCCCTCCCCTCCCTTTGTGGCCAAAAATGGAGGCCTTTTAACAAAGTAGTCCACATTGTCCATTGTGACAGTCGGGCCGTGTTCTGGTGGGACCCAATTGTGAAATTATCAGAAGCCTAGACGTTTTTTAAAAAGAGAAATCTTGCGAATTTTTCTGAACAAAAACAGATCTCAATGATGGGCTCCCCTTGGGGAACGTCACTCCCCAGCAGAGGCAGGGGCACTGTGGGGGTCAGGAATTGCGTGTCCTCTGCCCTGGCCTCACCAGTGGATGGGAGGGACTGCCTGACTGCTGCCTGAGAGCTCTCAGTACCCAGAAGAATGAGGGCAGGTGCATGACAAGGGTCATGGAAGAGTGTCCACGGAGGAAGCCCAGGCCAGCTGGACACCTGCAGGCCCCCAGGGAGATGTCCACAGTGGGTTTGCAGAACCCTGGAGGAGGGGGGCAGGCAGTGCAGACCAGGAAGGGCTCCTGCGCGTGCATTCCTTGTGGCTTGGTCTCAAGAGGGGCAGGGAGACAGGCTCTCCTCTATGTCCTCTGCTGGGCAGGGCTGGGATTCTGAGGCAGGGGCTCCTCCTGTGGCTCCTGGAAACAGAAGCTGCCTTCCCCCTGCGTGAAGGACTCCGTGAGAGGACTGCTGCGCTGACCAAATGACCTAGACGTGAGGCTGGCACCCTCACACTCAGGCCCTTCTGTGTGATGGCCTCCACACCCCAGGCTCCGTCCCCACAGCCCACACTCACTCTCCACTCTCATCCCCAGATGACTCCTTTGGTTCACAGCCTCCCACGGCCGCCTCCTGCCTGCTGGTCACAAGTACAGCCAAGAGTGGTAGAAGTTTGGGTTAGTGCAAGTCTACAACTCACAGGTCACGGCAGGTGGACCAGCCACCCAGATGTGCCATCTGTCACAGACCCTGAACAGAAGCAGGCCTTGCCACACACAGTGAGAGCACAAATGCCCCTGCGTGCCTGGGATGCAGGGGAGCCCATGCCCAGGCACGGAGAGGCACTGCAGGTCCACCCCACCTGCGTCCGCACTTGGGGTGTGGGTAGCTGAGCGCTAGCTCAGGTCTCCTGACGGCTCCCTGTTCTCATCGTGAGCACGAGTCGGACGCCTGGCCTTGTGGCTTCTGGAGCCTGCTGCCCCCACCCTGCTCTCCAGACCCGTCTCCAGGCCTCCCAACGCCCTCTCAGAACCAGACTGAAGATCCCCTTCTGCCCACTACATCTGCCAAGGAAGGGGCCCTCTGAAAAATTAAACACCAGGGCCCTGAAGTCCCCACTGCTGCGGGGCATGCCGTCACACCGTGGGTTCCACCTGCACCACCACTCTCCTCCTGCGCCCTGCTCTCCACAGCAGCTCTGCAGGAGGCCAGTGTTCCCCAGAGGGAGAGGCCTTACTCACACCAACACCCAGCAGCAGAAAGAGCAAAGCTGGAAGACACTGCCCAGAGAAGGCAGGGCACTGGGGGCAGGGTACATCGCCTGCACCCCTCATCCTAGGCACCTGCACAGCTCCCTGTGCGTGCACTCTTGGCACTCCACGGGCATGGCTGCTCCCCCTCGCTGTCGCGGGAGGCACATGAGAGTGCAGGTGATGACCTCCCAGCGCCCTCCTTCTCTGGAAGCTCTCAGGACTCTCCCTGTTCTACCTTGACACCCCCAGGTGCTGGCCTGTGCACTCAGGAGGTGCTGGGTGACATGCTGTTGTCAGCAGGAGCCGGCACGCTGCAAACACCCTCTCTGCACTGTCTGCCTTGCCAGCGCTGCACTATCCAGCACACCAGCTCCTGCCCACTCTCCCATGCCAGCCTGGAGTACCTCGTCCCTCAGTGTTCCCTGAGGCAAAGGGAGGCTGCACCTTTCTCGAGGCCTGGCCTCCTCCTCTGTGCTGCTGAGGCTGCTAGTGCAGCTGGCCAGAGGCTCATGTGGGGCTTAGCCAGGGCCTCCAGAGCCAGGCTTTGAGAAGGGGCCAGTACCTGACTTCTGGGCCCTGGCGTCAGTGGGAGTTTCCCCCAACCCAAGGATGCAGGCAGCCTGAGCCCCTGCGCATGCAACATGGCCACAGGCAAGGTCTGTTGTGAGAGTCTCATTCCCCTTGCTGCCGATCCTTCTGAGAACACGTCAGGGGTCCTGCCCCACCAGGAGCTTCCTTCCCTTGCAAAGGCAAGGCCTCCTCACTGTCCTGGAGCAAGACTGAGTGGTTCTTCACTGCTGGGATTTCCTGAGATGCTGAGCTCTGAGGAGGAGGCCCTGCCCAGCCAGGGGCCTTCATTCTGGCTGAGCTCTGAGCCCTGTCCCCTGAGAAGCCTTGTCCCTTCTGGAGGCTGGGCATGCCCCTCAGAGCAAGGTGGCCAGTGGATGCTGGCCTTGTTCTAAAACAAGATACAATCCTGGTTGACCTCATTTTCCTTTCCCAAACCAAATCTAACAGAGGCCTGCTACGTGGGGGGAAACTGAGACAGCAGACACTCTCTCCTATCTGTGCAGCTGCCTAATCCAAAGCATCCCTCAACATAGGTTTCCTTGATTGGCCTTTCTCCTGCTGGCCAGTGTGGTTCATGTTTCCAAATTCACAGAGGGCACATCCGCAGAGACCGCAGGGCTCAGGCCCTCACTGAGTCCACAGACAAGCAGTGAGTAGTGGGAAGAGCCCACCACAGCTCAGCTCTGCAGCTGACACAGGTTCTGGAGACAGGGTGCTAGAGAAGTGCAGGGCTATTTGGGGACCACAACTGCTGGATGAGATGCTAATTCATAACATGAGGGCCTGTGTGTGAGGTCCACTTCTAGTGCAGATACAGGACCAGAGATGGGATCTGGCCACTGAGAAGTAAAATATATATTTGTAAGTATAAAAGGGTGATGATAAGGTAACCTCAGGTCAACCTGGGGTAGCCACTGGGTAGAGTTCAGGAATCCAGGGACTCGGGTCACCACACAGCACAGCTCAGAATCACCAAGAGAACAAGGATGACCCCAGAGCAGAGCTGAAGATCCTCAAGGAAGCAAGAATGACAGCAGGGCATAGCTCAGGACCAAAGGGCACAAGAGAGACATCTCAGGACACAGCTCAGGACCTCCAAGTGTGCAAGGATGACCCCAGGCTCAATCCATGAACCCCGAGTATACAAATGTGATCTCCCGGCACAGTTCAGGATACCAAAGGGCACAGGGTTGATCCCAGGGCCTAGCTCAGGTACCCAAGCATGCTAGAGTGACGTTAGGGGACAGATCCGGACGCCAGTGTTGCAAGGGTGATCCCAAGGCACAGCTCAGGACCCCCAATCCTGCCAGGGTGACCTCAGGGCGGAGCTCAGGACCCATCAGGCGCAAGGTGACCACACTTTCACGTTATGTTCCACCGTCCGCACAGCGAGCGTCAGGTTCCAGGGCGAGGCCAGGCTTGGGAGGGACACTACGGCGGGCGCACCTAGGGCGTCCCGAGGCATACGGCGGCGCCGCACCCCGACGGTGAGGGGAACAGGCACAGCGGCGAGCCCTTGGCGTCCTCACCTGCGGTCCCGCGGACCCCGGAGCCCTGCGGCGACGCCCAACAGGCCCGAACCCAGGTGCCCGGCCCGCGCCCGGCCCGCGCCCGCCGCGTCGCCGTGGTTACAGGAGGACGGCCCAGGGCCACGCCCCCGACGGTCTCGCGAGAGCCGGCGCCCGCCAACTTCCGGCCGCCTCATTTCCGGGCGCCGCCTCCCTTCCGCCTGCTGGTGCGGAGCCCTGCCGGCCCGACGCTGCAGGCGAAGCGCGGTGGTGAGTCCCGCGCGTGGATCTGCCCCTCCCGGCGCCGCGCCCGCGCAGCGTTCTGGCCCCGCGCCTGGCCGCGCCGCCCCTCTGGCTGCCGCCTCTTGCTGTCCGCTGGGGTCCTGTCCCTTCTGCTGTCCGCCCCCTGCTCTGCTGTCCCCGCCCCCTGCTCTGCTGTCCCCGCCCCCGCTCTGCTGTCCCCGCCCCCTGCTCTGCTGTCCCTGCCCGTCTCTCCTCCCCGCCTCCCCGCTTCCCCGCTCTCCTCCCCGCCTTCCTGCTCTCCCCTGTCTCCTGTCCGCCCCCTCCTCTCCTCCTTGCTCTCCTCCCCATCTCTGTTGTCCGCCCCCTACTCTCCTCTCCCCCGCCCTGCTCCCCCCTCCCCTGCTCTCCTCCCCATCTCTGCTGTGCACCCCTGCTCTCCTCCCCCCTCCCCCTCCTCTCCTCCCCCTCCTCTCCTCCCCCTCCTCTCCTCTCCCCCTCCTCTCCTCCCCCCTCCCCCTGCTCTCCTCCCTCTCCCCTGCTCTCCTCCCTATCTCTGCTGTGCGCCCCTGCTCTCCTCCCTCTCCCCTGCTCTCCTCCCTATCTCTGCTGTGCGCCCCTCCTCTCCTCCCTCTCCCCTGCTCTCCTCCCTATCTCTGCTGTGCGCCCCTGCTCTCCTCCCTCTCCCCTGCTCTCCTCCCTATCTCTGCTGTGCGCCCCTCCTCTCCTCCCTCTCCCCTGCTCTCCTCCCTATCTCTGCTGTGCGCCCCTGCTCTCCTCCCTATCTCTGCTGTGCGCCCCTCCTCTCCTCCCTCTCCCCTGCTCTCCTCCCTATCTCTGCTGTGCGCCCCTGCTCTCCTCCCTCTCCCCTGCTCTCCTCCCTATCTCTGCTGTGCGGCCCTGCTCTCCTCTCCCCTCCCCTGCTCTCCTCCCTCTCCCCTGCTCTCCTATCTCTGCTGTGCGCCCCTGCTCTCCTCCTCCCCCTCTCCTCCCCCCTTCCCCCGCCCCTGCTCTCCTCCGTGCAGCCCCTCACTGTGTGAACCTGGCCCCGGGTTCAACCTATGACTTGTGCTTTTCCCAGCGCCGATGAGGAGCCAATGAGAAAGAGCCGGAGCTGAATGCCCAGCCATGGCCGGGCCCTGGATGGCGGCTCCCTGTTGGAGGGCCCTGCTCCTGCTGCTGGCCTCCCAGGCGGTGGCCCTGGTGAAGTGCTCGGAAGCTGATGACGTTCCCGAAGAGTGGCTCCTCCTGCACGTGGTTCAGGGCCAGATTGGGGCGGGAAACTACAGCTACCTGAGGCTGAACCACGAGGGGAAGGTGGTCCTGAGGATGCAGAGCCTGCGAGGGGACGCCGACCTGTACGTGTCCGACCGCACCCTCCACCCCAGCTTCGATGACTACGAGCTGCAGTCGGCCACCTGCGGCCAGGACGTGGTCTTCATCCCTGCCCACTTCCAGCGCCCCGTGGGGATAGGCATCTACGGACACCCGTCGCACCACGAGAGCGACTTCGAGATGAGGGTCTATTTCGACAGGACGGTGGACCAATACCCCTTCGGCGAGGCCGCCTACTCGGCCGAGGGCGCCGAGGCCGGCCAGAAGCAGGCCTACAGCCCCGAGGAGGCGGCACCGGAGGAGGAGTCTGTGCTCTGGACCATACTAATCAGCATTCTGAAACTGGTACTGGAAATTCTGTTCTGACCCCCGACAGCACTCCAGAGCAGTGCCCGCAGTCTGTGGAGGGACCTGGCTACTTTAACCTGGCTGAATTCTGGTTCCTTTCTCTAGAGGAGGGGTGGAAAAATAAAGCCATACCATTTTGTTACCTCACATCCCCCAAATAGGAAAAGCAGGTAGTAGTTTTTCTTTTGAAGCGCCAAATTTCTATAAACGGAAATGCCCAATTAAACATTGAATCTCCATTATGATCAGTTTGTCAGGCAACCTAAAAGCTATTACAGTAACTAAAGCTTACATAAAAGAAGTCAAAATATGAAGTTCAGCATGTTTTCAGGAGTTCTTACTAAAATCAAGTCCGAAATGCAATGATTTACTTAAATTTCCCTGAACATGGACTAAAGACCCAAGTCTGCCCCAAGTAGGGATGTATTATCTTCTATGTGTACAATTCTAGATCCCCCTCTGCACCAGTCTTATCAGGCCATTTGCCATTTTATCATTTTGGGCTTCCTATCACTAAAGTTCTTTAGTTATTAGGTGATTTTTGTTTTACTGCTTATGGCAGGTCAGAAGCACCACCACAGAGTGGAAAGGGTAAAAACAGTAGTTTTTCAGTCTAAAAGTTAAAATATTTCCAATTAAGTTGCTAAATATTGCTACTCAATTTTTTAGAGAAAACCAAACCGCTGAAATTTAAAGAAAAAAATATTTTTTTGGAATAGTTGCAGTTTCCTTACCTGTAATTAGGTTCAAGGGTAAGAGTAGCTTATAATGAAATGAGTCAACTAGCAGATTTTAAGCTCAGAGTTAATTTCAAAAATCCTTTATTGGCATAAAAATGAGGCTGTTTTAAATAAATCAGCACCAAATATTCCACTTCAGTGCATATGCGTTAGAGCCCCCCAAAAAGGATTTTATCCCTCTTTGCTGTTTTTCCCCCTTCTGCCCACTTTCCTGGGTGTTGGGGGGGCTCGCTGACAACAGTCACAAATCCAGCGACCTAGGAGAAAAATTGTTAGTTAATATAGAGTGGAATCTTATTTTTATAGGACTGAATATTAAACCATTTAGGTCTCCTTCCTTAGCTGTCACTAGTGATGATCCCCGGTGGATTTATGTAAATGTCCCTTAAGATGACCGGTAAGCTCAGTAATCAAATCCTAATGCAAAACCTAGCACAGAATCTGGCGTTCTTCAGCTTTTTTCTTGGCTGCTCCAACAGCATTCTCAAATCCTGGTGTACTGTGCTGACACAGCGATTTGAAAGTTTTAACTGCAGGAGAGGCTGCACTACATACTTGATCTGGATTTCTACAGAACATTAAATAATTATTTAACTTGCTTGCTTCTCAGTGGTTCCCGGGAAACAGATCTAGGCATATATTTTATAGAGTATCATACAGTGTTAACTATGCAAATAAGTTCTAAAGTTACACAATTATCTGTGTAATGTCTTAGTCCAATTACTGTAACTGACCGATTGTGTTCTAATTCTAAAGTTACCTGGAATTGTCGCAATGCCTCAGTTTATGGATATATGTTCTAATGTGTAAGGTGAAGCAATCTAAGTTTCTAGATAGTTGACATATAAAAATAAAATCAAAGCACTAAAACAAACTGATGGCTCTTAAAGTACTTTAGCTATTTCAGCAGGAAAACACCAGCTCATTCTGTACATTGAACTGTACTTCCAAAGCAGCCTAGGTGCTCTGACATTTATCTTTTAGTTGTATTTGTCTAAAGATGAAAAGAAGGTAGGCGTGACCTGCGTAATAATGGCTTCTACCATGTTTGGACAGAATGGTCTGCGGGCCATGCCTTCATGTCATTAGAGTGTCTATGCAGCCTTAAGAAGATGCTGGGAGAGTCTCACCAAAGATAATGCACTTTTAAAATCTTTACCTGATGGAATAGCACCAAGGCCCACACAAAAAGTATGATAACCTCTGTCACACACATCACAGAACATCATTTCTTCTTCATGGTGGGGCTGTCCACATACAATGCATGTCTTACACTCCATACACTGCCATGGGTAGGTCTTAATGATAGAAACAAGCTCCATGGTCATGTCCAGGCAAGAAGGATGGCCTAAATCAAAACCAACAGTAGCATTTCACAAAGGGCTTTTAACTAATTTGGCACATAAAATACTGGTCTGCTTCAGGACTTGCCAACAATGGCTACAGTACTTAAATCACCAAAGATACAAAAACACAATGTAGAAGAAAACACCCAGCCTTGTCACACAAGATTACCCTGTTACTGCATGACCACTGAACTGAAGTCCAACTGACTTCTACAAACTCTAGTTTTTGAAGCAACAAATAGGGTGGGGTCATAATCTTAGAAGATGTCACCGTACTTACCACTGTTATCACACTGGGAGCAGTGTATAAGTGACTCAGCCTTTCCTTTCTTGTTGGACTCCTTACCCTTCAGACAAATCCCACATAGAGCATTTGGAATGACCTTTGGCTGGAAGGGTAGAAGAGGACTGTAAATTCATGCAGGAGCTTGCTGTGGGTTCAGGGGACTGTTACTTTATCACCTTATCTTTACTTCTGGGAACTCACTATTGAGGACTTTGAAAGACATAACTGGACAAGAGTCTGCTCAGAACAGAAAACAGCGTATGGATGAAAGTCTTAGAATTCATTTAAAATTTAGTAAACAGCATGATCTCGTGTTAAGATTAAACGTAGCATTCTTCACTTGCGACATACATATCGTACTGTCTGTATAATTAACCGGAAGCAAAAACAAAACACAAAATCAAATGTCACTATTAAGTGGAAGAGAAAATCCTCATCACCAAATGATATTACATGAAAGTTAAGCTAAGTTTTAAGCAATTTATGTACTGTTTTAAAATCCTGATATTTCCAAAGATGAAAAACTTGATATTTAAAAAAAAAACAGTATTTTAACATTTTTATTTGAAAGATGTCTTGAACATGATCATATGCATAAGTGTTTGTGGAAAACTGAGTTGTGATTACTCTTTGTATATTTAATAAATTAGAAGATCCTATGCTAACGGACAAACACAGTCACTATGGGGTAGAACAAAAAGGACAAGGTTTCAGATAAGCGAAAAGTTGTCACTTAAGAAATACACATTTTTGGAGTACTACTTATCTTTCAGACTAAAAACACGCACAGTACCTGGGCTTTAAACGTATTTGGCATCACATTGGAAAGAACAACGGAAAAAGGGTTCCCTACAGGTAAAACTGTCAGGACAGGAAGGGTGCCTGAGCAGCACAGCCTACAGATGGTGCAGGCTGTCCGCATGCACATACCGGGTAGGAAAGGAGGAGCAAGTGGGGTCAAGAAGGAGCCTGGGCAGGAGGGAACCCACAGTGAACTAGAATGATCATGTTTCTGCTTTATTCCAATACAGCCAAATTCACCTTGTAATCCTCTTCCTAAGTTACTGCACCAAAGAGGAATCT